GAGCCACGCGTTCATCAAATGAGCCACGCGTTCATCAAATGAGCCACGCGTTCATCAAATGAGCCACGCGTTCATCAAATGAGCCACGCGTTCATCAAATGAGCCACGCGTTCATCAAATGAGCCACGCGTTTATCACATGCGCCACGCGTTCGTCACATGCACTACGCGTTAGTCACATGCACTACGCGTTAGTCACATGCACTACGCGTTCGTCACATGCACTACGCGTTAGTCACATGCGCCACGCGTTAGTCACATGCACTACGCGTTCGTCACATGCACTACGCGTTAGTCACATGCACTACGCGTTAGTCACATGCACTAAGCGTTCATCGAAGGAATCGCGTGTTAGTCACATGTGCGGGCATTCGACTAGTGCATTAAAATACTTGCGTCTCCCATGAAACCTGATCAGAGTTTTCTGTATGAGGCTTGGTGAAGAAAATGATTATTTGGGCTAGTACTGAATAAAACAGGCACCGGGCAACTAATGTGAATAAAGACTGACAAAAAGAAGGATTTTTCCCACGAGACCACGGACAGCGTAAAAAAATGTGCACTTTTTCCACAAAACGCGTTTTAGGATATGGCAAAATTCGTAGTAGGCTGTCACTATGCTCTACACCAGCAGGAACATTATTATGCTACTACGGTGAAATATATGAGATACCTTGACGATTTAGGTTTTAAAATAGGTTCTAGGTTTCAAAATATATATATATTTAGAGTTTTAAAATAAATTTAAGGTTTTACACAATGATTATCGGGATAGAAAACGTTTTGTAGATCGTGTAAACGGATGACAACAAATTTCAATTGAATAAATTGACGATTGGGATACAATAGGAAGCTTATCATAACGCAATAGGAAACGTATTAGGACTAGGGCGGCTGGTGACACGTTTGCTTTTGTTTGTCCAGTGGCGACGTCGTGGGGTGTAAGTGAAGTCAATTGATACGGGAGGCTGGCGACGGTGATAGCATCGGCAGGGCAGAGCCGGAGTGCGTGGCAGCGCATGCGTCCGATTACAAACCGGCGCTCGCACTGCAGCCTCGAAAGGGTCGGCTTTGGAGCTTCCACGGCGTATTTATTACCGCCTTTGGCAGGCATGATCTAATATCATATCAATAATGTTTGGGAAATACCATGACTGAAGTAAGATAAAGCTTCTTAAAGCCCAAGAAGTACAAGGCTCCTACAGTGTGAATGCTTCATGGAAAGTAAAAATTTTCTTTTAAGAGTTATTAAATATATTACATCTATCAATAGTTTTGGTCCATTGTGTATAAATTTTACCTTAGAATGATGAGACGCGTCATCAATATAGGACATTGGATCGCGTTGTAATTTTATCGTTACTAGAAAATCACGTCCGTTATCATAGGTTACTATTCACTTCCATCGTGTTCTTGAAGTTATAATTCGGTTCAAACTCAACGATAACAATCTCTGTGATTACGAATGCATTAAAACCAAAACTTAAAACCATTGCATTAAAACCACCGATTTTATTTAAATAATTACAAAACGTGCAGAATCTTAATTGTCTAAAATGATAATTTATATCCGAATTGACCTGAATTTAAAATACGTAGTTACTACAATAAATGAAAATCAGATTACAACTGAACCTAATTAACATTTAATCGAAAGACTAAAATCAGGAGGAACAAACTCAACTCGACTGTGTATTTTTTTCATCCCCAACAATTGCGCACTGATGGGAACGGCACCCAGCTATTAATCGCCAATGCCCGTGAAGAGGCAATATGCGTGGATCACTCTTCCTATTCACTTTGATTGCGTTCCGCAATTACAGACCTAAATGTGAGTCAATTTCACCTTCGTGTTAACGCATTTATAGATATCCCTCAGCGAATCTTCTATCCACTTAATAAACTTGATTACTTTTATCATCATATACCAATTAGTCATAACTTTAAACGTCATATACTGATTTATTGTAAATTTCATCGGAAAAATGCCGTTCTTTTGTCGCTTCTATTACAAAATACAGAGTAGTTTCTACTTTTAAATAACCCAATATATTGAAGTCATCACATTAAACAATAACGATCATTGAAGCCAGCAGCGCAAGTGTTCACTTCGCTGCTCGCGGGCGTCGTTATCGGCGCGCGCAGCCGCGGCGCTGTCGCCGAGGCACGCGTGACAATTTGCAGCCACGCGCCGCTAGGGTCGGGCTGAAAATCATCCCCAAAGCCGGAGAATTAGCGGCGTCCGTCTCATTGAAAGATAAGGCGATGAGACTAATGATATATTCATAGACAAAGTCAGGGATCACCGACCGCTGGTAGTCACTCCTCGATCGTCTAGAGCTGTTATAAAAATGGATTGGTAGTTGTGGTAGGTTTTGCGGTGGCATTTGCATTGAACCCAGATCTATTTACATAGATGCCAGAAGATCAATACGTAAATGTATATATATATTTTAAATTATATTCAGAACATTTGTAGAATTTCATTGAGGATTCCGAGTTGGACATGATTAATTCTCATTCTTTCCGTGTAACTGACTAGATTTTAATTTTAGTGACAAATTGCTCGTGAATATTGTTCAGTCTCGATAACCATCATTGAAATCATAATGTTAGATCATATGAACTCACACTAGCCAGCAAAACATATACACAAATGAACGTTACAAGTTAATTCACAAAGTTTATTACGGCGGATCCCAGAAGCGATCACTGAATCCACAGTGTTCATTATAAGCGCACCCGGCTGTTGCAAATGATCCCACAGACCCACACTCTTCATCGCAACTAAATTCAAAATGACCGGGGCACTAAACTCACATTCAAAACGTTAAATTTACGCTTGTGTTGTTTGAATATTCTTAGTTTTTAATTGTTCAACCCTTGCATGAGCTCGATTTGTTGTTTTCTAAAATGGATTACAGTTGGCTGAAGATTTTTTGTTGTTTACAACATTTTAAGAACCCAGATCTGTAGGTATAATGTTGCCACATTATTCTGCATATACTAATTAGACTTCATTCACGGCCACGCCCATTTGCAAGACATCTCGTTTCAAAATTTAATTTCGAAAACTGTTATTATCTAAACATCAAGTTTAAGCTGAATTGAAGTTGACTTGGTAAACTGTCTGCTTCCATAAAATATACATAAATGGCCTTTGTCATTAGTACGCTTTTATTTAAGCTCTGATTGAAGGTTAAATGCAGCTTTGGAGCCCAAAATTGAATTTAAACTTGAATTAAAAATCAATCACATTTCGTGTCAGGATAAATACACTTGCTGGTCATATTTCTCGCTTGGACTATTGATCGCGTTAGTAGAGGTCCAGTATTGGTGAGACGTGGTTCTAAACCAGGTTCAGGATTCGTAGAGGTATTTTGTAGGCTCCTCCCTCCTGTGAAGAGGGTAACGCGAGGGAAGTGCTAGGAATTCGTCCGTTCCCAGGCACCGTGCTGAGCAGACCGAGCGTTCCGTGGGAACCTGTGCTTCAGTGCAGGACTTGGCGCTCATAAATGTGTACCACTCTGTTGGTATTTAGTATTGCATAGAGATGATTCTTGAATATTTTTTGGGTTATAAATTATACGCTCGAATGTGCAATAAATTATTTTTTCAGTGAATAATTTAGTGTAAATGTACGAAGTTTCAAGTGATTGCGTGTGATCATGTCAGCCATTAAATGGTGAACAACGTGGAAATTTTCACGCTCCATAAACGATGTTTTAGAAAACTTTGATAAACGCATTTCAAGAAGGCGTACTCTATTCACAAAAAAAAAAATACGAAATGATTTTAACCTGATTGGCATGTCATGCTGGATACTCAATTTTAAAAAATATCTTCCATTCATATGTATTCAAGGATAAATTTTTGAATAGAATGAACTTGTCGCAAGTGTGCTGATTGTCTGCATGTTTGTGAGTTAAGTTTCACGAACGTGAGTCTTGTTTACCGAGACAGTCGAGCCGAGCAAAGATCTTATCAGCGCAGGTCAACGTATAGCATGCGTGGTCAGTCTGGTCACCAAGGCCACCGCAACTGAAACTATAGGCGTATTATATGAGAACTACAAGCAGCAATTTGATGAACACCGTAAACATTTTATGTATGTTTCATCAAATACAAAATCGTGTTTATATGACAGTATAGGCCTTTTTAGTGCCTTTTAGATGACGCTACTTCAATGGCGGAGTTATATATATTATATAGGTTTTTAATTCAGTGAAAATCTTACCCTGACAAGAGAAACGAACTTATTTTGCGGAAGATTTTAATTTTTTGTTGACTATCATCTGTATAAATCATGAATAATTCAAAGTACTTATTTAATCTAAATGTGGACGTGAAGTAAAAACCGTTTTAGCAATGTGTTTATGCCACATTCAGCGTTCTCCTACTATTAAACGGAGTGCTTAAAATTAAAAAAAAGGTAGTCACTGCTGTCAAGCTAGCAAAATTGAAAAAAAACCTACATGTTATTATCGTACGAAATGATCATTATTTTTTCAAATTTAGTCGTGCGCTTCGTCATAACAAGTTTTCATCCGCAGGTGTCAATATATTTCACTTATTTTCGAGTCACGAAACAAATACATACCATCATGAAGGTGAGCTATTCTACCTTTTGGATAATTCATGTGATGTTATTATTTCGCTAATATGCAGCCAGTAATATGTTCTATATTTTTATTTCGAAGTGACACTTTATGGAACAATTTGCTTTGTAGTTACAAGTTGGGTTCTTCCCCACACAGATGGAAGAAAGCATCAAGGACGAGCAAAGCCCGCCGTCGCCAGCGCGCGGCTGCTACGCTGGGGGCGACAGCAGCGACTTGGAGGACCTCGGGGACGACTTGTCGGACGACTCCAATGGTGAGCTTTCTCCGGGGCTGCACGGTCCCGCTGAAATGATCCCGTGCCACGACAACCTGCACGGGGGCGGCCAGTCCCGCAGCAGAGCGTGGGGCCGGCATTCGAACGGCGGTGAGGCCGCACGATATTTTGGAAAAAGATATACATCCATGACTGATATAAGGAGATTGCATGATGTCGAAAGATTCACATTATCCATCGATTTCATAAAACTTATAGCCAATAAGTAATGCGGACAAATACCTCATAAACGATTATTCCTGACTGTATATAATTTAATGCTCATTTACTTATGTGGATGGAACTAAAACTTCTGTTCTGCTACTTCGTGCTTTCAGACAACGAGAACTCCAGTGACGTGAACCTGCACGAAGGCGACTACGGTAGCAGCGCCGCGTCCGGAGCAGCAGGACTCGTCACCGAAGCCAGCCGAGGTCCGTCGGGGGGACTACGGAAAGGCTTCAGCAACAGCAGGGAACGCTGGCGGCAGCAGAACGTCAGCGGTGCGTTTGCAGAGCTCAGAAGGATCGTTCCAACGCACCCGCCCGACAAAAAGCTCAGCAAGAACGAAATTTTGCGTCTAGCCATCAAGTACATCAAGCTTCTCAACGACGTCCTTGAGTGGCAGAAGCGGCAGGATAATAATTGTCACAACGGAGTCACGGGCTCCGATTATGATGGCGATATCTCAGCTGACTTGGGAAAAAATATTCATTGCCTTGAGAATCCGCGTCATGAATCAGACGCAGCTACCGATGGGGTAAATCAGATTAAAAAACAAATCATGACCAACGGCTATGACTCAATTGCAACTGTAGATGCCAATGGTAATCATAATGCAAGTGTGAAATTTGTTCAGCGATGTTCCTCTTCTTCTTCGTCTTGTTCTTCCTTCCGCACAACTCCGTCACCTCCCGATGCCAGTCCACCCCGGAACGCACACAATTGTCAGATGAAAGTTAACGAAACCCACCTAAATTCTGTCACCAGCACGTCAGCTCCATCAAAGGAGGTTCGCTGCTCCGTTTCCACGTTCCGACCTTCCTCCTCAGCTTCAATGTTGCTCAGCGTGGATAAATCAGTCTCTCCAGAAATCTGCATAGTACCATCAGAAGCTTCAAATAGTCATCAACGACCCGCTGCAAATATTATTGCTCAAACCGCATCTCTTTTTCGGTCTGGTCGCCGCATCGCTGCTTCTCCGAGTTTCATGAAAATCATGCACCCAGTGGATAGAGAAATAATTGGGGGAACAGACATGCGTTCACACCCTGCATCGAAAACCACGAAAACAAATATCAAAGTAATTTCGTTTGATTCTTCTGGAATGTGCGATAAACAAGATTATCCAGAAATTTCGCACCAAGAGACCACGACAATTAAAGTGGGTGCAGCGCATCTTTGTAGCATTGGGGGATTAAATAAGAGCGAGCAGTCAAACTCACTCTGTAACGAACCTCTCTCGAAGCCGTCTCTCATTTCATCGTTGGCTGCTCCCCGACCCTCGTTTGTGATGACAACCTCCGCCCCCCGCGCTTGCGCCGAGCCTGTCCCGCGTTCGCGGACCGAATCAATATCATGTGCTTCGTCGACTCCCCCCGCCGCACAAAGGGGTACAGAAAATGGCCGCCATGCTAAAACTGAGAGTTCAGGAGCTTCCACAGTTCGCCATCATCCTTATTTTGTGTCAGTCAAGTTAGCACCTCATGATGGATCGTTAAATTACCCAAAGCAGGATTGAATGAACGTTGTCACCACTGCAGAAATATGGATTGGCCCGCGGAATTTTGTGCCACTAGATACCTTTTATCTTGTAACGATAATATCTGCACGGAATTATTGGAAATAGTGCAAGCCTGTTAATTGTGGGAACTTCCAATTCTACCGTGCACAATATAACTTCTAGATGAATAGTGAATCTATAATTTAAAAACCCCCTGTTAAGTTTTTTTCGATCATCTTCCGCATTTCAAAACTTTTTCTTGTGACTAGCTCATTAGTCGTCATTTAAAGATACACTTCTGCATGTTTGCTTTGATAATCACCTCGTATATACTAAGCCACTTGTAACTATTTTTGTTATCGTAACTATTGTTCGGAGATGTTGCTACAGATTTCACGAGATCGAATATCAAATGAGCTTCCAATACCTCATTATTGGCGTGCAGTTTTTAACACAAATTCACAACAAAGAAGCAATTCTTGAGATCCTCGCTGAAAAAATATTGATTTCGTCAGTAACCGTGCGTACGTATACTAGCTGTGTGTAATAGCCTTGCTGTTATAGTTGCTGGTTTGCGTAAATTTTCGGTTTTCTGAGTGTTTTTTTTAAGCACCTTGATTTTTTATTATTATTATTTTTTAATTTGTGGAACGTGTAAGCTTTCAAATGTTCTTCATAGCTAATTATTACGAGAATAAAAGTTAAGATAATCGATAAGACATTTGAACCAAATGTTGGTAATTTATTTGCAAAATATCAGCCTACAGATGAGTGGAATATAAAATTAATAGCGTATACTTTACACAGGTTCTTGACGCGCTGTCAAATTATTGTGAGGCAGGTAATGGGCAGAAAATTCAATTCGCTTAGAGTATATACCAACCAACTTCAAGTATAACTTTAATAGGTCCGTGAACCTTTCGTTTGGGCGGTCATGCTTCCTGATTTTAGCTGCAAGCATTGCACGGAATACTGGTCTTGTAATTCGTTGTGAGTTAATGACGTGTGCAGACCGTCGCAGCTTTGTTGTGAGGATCATCACCTCAACGCTGGCGAGGTTGGCGCAGTCGAGTACTTCCTCATTGTTGACACAAACAACAGAGTCCTCTCATATAATCCACATAACACAGTCGTGCAAAAATGGGTCTTCCATTCAAATAACCCAGCGCTCTTTCATAAACAACACACTGGCATCATTGAGTTATGTGAAATAAATTTTTTTGCTATAATATTGCATGTCGCCACCAATTACAATAAGCCAGATTTTTTTTATAGAGTGTCACTGCATCAGCATTAATTGACTCGTTTCTTTTTCGATGATTTTATGTCTAGTTTTTAATTAAAACAAGCGGCAGAAACTTCTTTTGTTCTTCACTGCTCGTATACATGCAGTTATGTTGTATTCCTTGACCATTACAATACATCCTTCAGCACTGCAATTGCAGACTCTTTAGCAATGACTATAGAGCTGCTGCGTAGTAGCTTTCTGCTTAATATACCCCAAGTAACATTTTATCAATTTGAACTTCTCCGAGAAATCCCATAAGTCACCTTCTGAAATTATGGTTCAATATTTTATTTGAACAATAAATGTTCAAATATTAAGAAATGCGCGAATTACGCCATCTCTGGACCTTTTGGATGACCTAGCGATCGTACGACTCTGTCATTATTTCCAGCACATGCATTATTGCATGGTGTCTGCTTACCGGCCACTTCAGCTCTGTGCAATTCTTCTTAGAGCTGCATCTTCTATTCCACCACGCTTCCAATCACACTCGAGATCCATCATTATACTCGGAATTAACTTCTCTGTCGGGAAATATACATGAAAACCTGCCTGCCGTTATGTCATGACTGCCTATCACAAACTCTGAATCGATGGATTCGGGATTCATGTAAGCTCTAAATCGCGAATGATTCACGGTAAATATTTTTAAATTCGGTTATATATTGATATCTGATTCCATGATCCTAATTATTAAACGGGTTTTAGAGTGCATTAATAAACTCATGGTCAGCTCAAGATGAAATATAGTCTTTTACGTGCATCAGTTTTTTAGGTTAGCAAAATGATAAATTTGAGCTAAATTTTTAATTGATGAGTCTAATAAGGAAGCAACTGCCTAGACTAAACCAATGACAATGAAGGTCGTGAGAAGTAGGAGTCTGGCCACGCACGTCAAGGCCTGCAAGCGCTAACGACAGGATGCGTCCGTGGGCCGAGAGATAAAATTTACTTTACGTCACTTAGAGGACGATGTAGCGGTCAAAGTTCCCAGTTGCAAAGTAAACCAGAATGTGCGAACAAAATCTCAAGGTAAGTGAACGATCTTCTTAAAATTTTCGCAGGAGGTTTATACTATGAGATTTGAAGTAGCGACGTTTCGCTCGCTGCTGTTCGTAGTTTAACAATTAGACATTTACAAACATTCTTCATTGATCATCTTCCCTCGGTCTGGCTGAGCTCAATGTTCCCACGTATGAACAGAAGAGCTCGATCATTTGTTGAACGACGAAGACATTAATGATAGTGATCGAAATTATGATCTTAACTGCTGTGTTTAACCGCAAAAATGTCGTTTGCTTCCAGCAGCTCCATCACAGACCAGGATCATACAGGCTTTGCTTTGTTGCTAGATGTCCACATATCTCGCTTCTATACAAATGAAGAAACTACTACGGACTTTTTTTACGTGGACACGACTGCGAAATATTCAATGGGTACATAAGATGAATATCCAAAATTTAAATGATTGTCTGTAAATTGCAAGTAGCATTTTTTTGCACCATCACTTGTGACGAGGACTCTGTTTATTTGGTCCGGTGAGTCATGACTTTTTTCAAAATCTTACGTTGGGTGCGGCTAGTTTCAAATCACCGGTCGTTAAATTAAAATTATTAAGTTTAGTGCATCTCCTCAACGATGTGTATTTGGATCGGGTACGAAGGACTTCAATGATATCTCTCCAGCAGAACATTTAAAGTCGTCAGAGATGTTATAATTGTCGAAACAAGTTTCAAACGCTGAAGGATTTCAGTTTCATGGAAAAATTTCAGCTTTTTCTATGAAACTAAATAGTGGCACAAATATCCGAACAAGGAAATTAGGTGTAATTTCAGTTCAACTCAGACATGAATTGAGGAGTTATTATATTTGAGCGATCAATCCCTGAAACTTCATAACAAATTCACAAAACTTTACAAATTTAAGATTAAGGTATGGTTCAATAATTTTGAACTGCATGAAAGTCTTGACGGCCTCAACGCTCCCATTTGGTTATATTTTAATCATTACAAAATAAATTAAAACATTCAAGTTGCAAGTTGTTGATGCGCAATATCTATATTTATAGAACGAGATTGTCTTAGATATAAAAAAAAACTTTGACGCTAGAAAAATAAAATGAGATCACGTGTTAGCATCGTGTTGTCTCAACGCCGGGTGTATACGTCCACTTCTAAACTCGGACTTGAAAACTCGATTGGAGGGATCTACCTGTTATAACCAGTTCATTTGCCTATTTTGCTCGATGCTTTGCTACGTCGAGCCCTTGAATAGATCCTCTTCGATTAAACGTCAAATACAACTGGCAAGATATTTGCAAGAAAAATAATGAATAATTTATAGAAGGAAAAATGGAAAACCCAATGTGCCCGAACTCCAATTGAGATCCTTAACGAGCTATATTATTAATACTGTAAGCAAACAAGCCAACGGAAAATTTTAGAATTCAAATTTATTTGTAAAATTATGCATCAATGATCGTCGTACTATGTCTTGAGCTCTATTTTTAGGTTACATTCTTTATCGCGCTGCTGCAATTCAGCATCAGCGACTTGTAAAAAGAAAGCGTCGCATCAGCAGCACTCGTTGGTCCTGCTGCCCAGGGCCACTCAAGTGTCCTTGAAGATGCGCCACTCCCTTGAGGTTATCTTCACCTCGGCCCATCCTTGCCCAGCGTACAGGTCTTGTTGCTGCAGACACGCCCCGTGACCATGTAGAGCAGCCGCCTTTAACGACTCGCCAAAAGCAGCTCAGAAAACCATTGCACAAGTATCGATTCCCGCATCTTTTTTGATCGAATTACCAGATACTTGATTTCCCTTAAAATGTTTGTGGTTATATTAATTTACTAGTACGCTAGCAAGTGTGGGGCCTGCAAAACTTGCACAAAAGTGCGCTGCTACATGCATCATGGCTAAAACCTTGCAGTACAGACTGATGCACAGAGCACGCCGCAGCTACATGCTCATGACTTTACAGTGCATTCTGCCACTAGAATAGAAGAGGTGTATTCACTGTACACGCTGGTAGGCTCTCAGCTGTACAGTGCGCATTGCGATAAAATGGCAACTGCAGTGCATTCAACCGTGCACTTAGCTGTATATTCTGTTGTGCGAATGCTAAACAGATGCGCTTGATGCTCGACGCTGCACAAGTAGACACAGATTCAGTGTATGCCGTTGAGACCCTTATGCTCCTGATGACCATTTCTTACCAGTTTCTACCAGTTTATATGCATACCAGACTTCTATAAGTTCCCTTACCCAAGTTTAAATATATTTTGCTGTGTGATCTATGTCTTGGGAAATGACTTGGGAAATGACTTATCATTTATGAAAGCCTTCAATACTTTACTCGCCCATCATATTAACATAGTACCTACTTCAGTGCGCAAAAGGGAAGCTAGGGCTTCATGTCCTATGTATCGTGAGATGCATCCCCAAACACGCTGAGTTGAAATATTTTAATTTACCTGTTCATTGCGACTTTGCATACTCATGCATCAGTTTTATAAGTGTTTTACGGAAAAAAATAAAATGAAAAAGCTGCAAAGCACCGAGCATTTAAACCAAGACAGCTTCGACCAATTTATTTATATAAGGAGCTTCAGAGTGCAGCGACAAGGCATACATACACTGCCAACAAGGACAGATTATGTAGATGGCAGAGGTTTGATCGACTTGATTCGACTGCATCTACACTGCAGAGTGGGCGATAAGAGCCAAAGCCACTAAAGTGAAGCGGCCGCATATTATTGGAGCAGCTGCCCTAAAAACCTGCAGGACGACCCAAGGCTGCAGCTGAGCTGGATTTCGTCGAGTTCAAGTTCATTGTGCCTTGAGGCGCCTTTTGGGTAGAGGTCTTCACGGTCACACAAGGACAAACACAAAGTTTGTGTGAAGAGGTAGGAGGAAATTCTGGAGTTATTACAATGTTTGTGTGAGTAAATTGAATTGGGGTCATGTGCTTTTATTATTCTATTTTATTAGCGAATGCATGGTTTGTATTGTTGCAGTAATGTTCATTGCGCCTACTGTATATTAGGGCTAATGCTTGATGTGATAGCATATGTGTCTATATATGGTGCTAGGCAGAATGTGTGGTTAAATTTGTGGCATTAACACTGCAAACACGTTTCATACCGGTCCATATACGTTCATTGCAATCCTACAATAAAAATTACATTTATGACGTTGTTATGGAGTTAATAATGTGAAAATATGAGAAAACATAAGTTCTGTTTGCAAGTGGGGTTACGATGCGAAAATCTGAGCTAAGATGAGTGCAGGCATCTATGCTACACGCGTTTATGTTTACTTTCACATGCAATTGAGGATTCTTCAAGGATATAAACGTCGACATTAACACTTTTTCAAAAGTGAACACGTAATATTGATTCAATTTTTAGCCAGGCTAAGTAAAAAGGTCGAATAGTTTATTTAATTAAGAGCAAACAACAAATTTGCTCTCAATGGACACCAGCTGGTGGGTGAAAATCGTCCATAGCAGAATTATACAAAATCAGTGCACTGATAAAATGG